CACGTGGATTGCATAATGCATAATTTTGGAAAAATGAAGAGCAATTAAGGAATAAGCGTGTGCACAGGTTGATTACGTAACAGATTGTTAAAGAAAATAAAACAATTTGGACAATGATAATTTGTAACTAAAGTTTAAGTGGTCATAAGAATAAAATAATTTTTACAAGGATAACACGTAATTAAGGATGAAGTAGTCAGAAAAATAAAATAATTTGGACAATTATAGTTTTTAAAAAGAAAAATTATTCTAGGGGAAGGGTGATGGAGTAGTCCGGTTTATACAGTCATGTAACGATGGCCAAGGTAAGGAAAGTGGCTGTACAAATTTCTTCTGAACACACAAGTTTGGCTTCTTCAGGTGAATTCCTATTGCTTCAGCTGTATGTAGAAGACGAACTCGTAAAGCAAAATTAAGATTAGTAGGAATGCGATAAATAATTTTAAATGCAGTATTAACATCAACCTTATGCTCACTATCTACAAGGTGGGCTAAAATAGAGCTACGAATAGATTTTGTTTGTCCCTTGCTTAACCATGCCGGGTGATGTTCGGAAATACGATGATGAACCTGCCTAATTGTTCGCCCGATGTAGCCGGCTCCGCAGCTGCAGTCAAACTGGTAGATACACATAGAAGAGGCGAATTTAGGTAGTTTATCCTTATTAGTCGAACGTAGGATAGGTGTGGTTGTGAAGAGACAGTGTACCTCTGCTGCATAATAAGCTCTTTTAACTGCATTCTTCAGTCGTTGTGTTATTATTTCGCTGATGTTGTCGCTGAGGAACTGAAGTTTTATGAACAGTGGTTTTTTCGGAACTGTTGCCATAGTCACTGTCCTAGGTGATGAATTCATATTTTTCTCAATAAACTTATATGGATAACCATTTTTTCTAAGTAATTCTCTAATAATCTTAAGCTCCTCATTGAAGCAGTCGACTGAACAGATTAACCTAGCTCTATGAACCAGACACTTTACCAGGTTGCGTTTATATTTCAAAGGTACAAAACTCAAAAAATGAGTGTACTGACCTGTTGTAGTAGGTTTCCTGTACACACTCCTCTTGTCCAAATTGTTTTATTTTCTTTAACAATCTGTTACGTAATCAACCTGTGCACACGCTTATTCCTTAATTGCTCTTCATTTTTCCAATATAAGGAATTGACAGAAGTTGGGATTCATGGGCTGGCTGGCCATTGGATCGAGTCCCGGGGGCTTAATGGTCTACGAGCTCGCTAGTCTTGTAACCAGAAGGTTGTGGCTTCAAACCCCTGTGGTAGGTGAGTATTGCTGAAGGGTTAGTCCCAGACTAGGCTGACGAAACAGCTGGCTGTCCAGTACTGCCTCCCTCCTGCCCGGTGGTTTTTCCAATAGTTCTCTAACGAATGTCAACTCATTATGAAATCATGTAATCAATCAATCAATCAATCAAATCCCTATAAATCAATACTTAAAACAGATTATTTAGTAATGTGCTGTAAAATCAAATATTTATGTGTTCATCAAATTTTCACTAGTCATCAACAATTTTACATACAACATAATTTTTGAAAGTTCTAGTTATTCGACACAAGCTTTATCAAGAATACATAAACACCCCGTTTTATAGACATCACCACTTTCAACTAGAACCATAAGAGATTAGAGATTTTCATTTCTGTCTGTCTGTTTTCAACATAGAACTTTGCGCCGATGTGCAGTAGTTTTCCACCTGCCGCACACTCCTTACATACACCACACAAAGCAAGAGAAGAAAGTAAAAATAAATGCAAAATGAAGACAGTAAACAGAGATATGAGATAAAAAGAGTAGTAATATGAAAGAACAATATAGTTTCATTGGAAATTATAAGTCACAAGGGGCGGAGGCATCTGCACTAGCCATTGAGAACTATGATTTTGAGCCATATCACCAATTGTCTCCAGCCTTCATTGGTGTTGTTTACCGTCCCGAGGACACCACCAACCAGTCCGTCAGGCAGTCTACACCTTCCTATGTGGCTGGCTTAAACTAACTGTTGTGGATTTGATTGGCTGATGAAGTCATGTTTTGATTTGACCAACATTGGCTCTTTTCCAACCTGATCCTACATCATCTAACAACGCCTGTCAGTAGAGGTGGGCGATGTAGCTTCACAACCTCGGCGATTGATTCTCCCTTCTTACCTCGCAATCGACGCCTAACCTCATTATTGCCCATCCAATTATACTATTTCCCACGTGAGACAGAACGCAGGTACCTGTTATCAAGGACAGCTAGTCTTTTCATATCCTCCACTCTCAATGGCCATGTGTCACTCACAGCCATAAAGGAGGACGGAGCGGAGTGCTGAGCAGTACACTCGCCCTTTTGGTCGATAGCCAGCCGGATATCACGTCTACTAAGTCAGAGAAGGGCGTAAACTGGTGTATGCGAAAGTAGCCTTCTGTATCCGTGCTGAGATTCCGTCAGCAAGCAACCCGCTGGCGTTGGCTGATGCAACTTCCCAAATAAGTGAAGTGGTCAACGTGCCCTACCAATTCACTCCCTATTTTTATGCTAGGAGTCAATGTAAAAGATTCTCATTTAGTACTCACATAATCCTTTCGATGTCAACTTATTAGGACGTTCAACACACAATTCCCCATTTTCGAATTCCACTCAACAGACTAGTGTGTGTGTGTAATGTCACTTTTCAAAGTCTCCTCAAAGTAAGTACAACTTATTTCCACTTCCTCCTACATATATTTGTTGGATAGCATATCGCTGGCTAATTATTCAGCGCCTTTCAGTGTCCTTTAGCGTTTATTCTTTCTAACCCAGATTTCTGATCTTCAGAACAGGTAGGAGAAGATAGTAGGTGTTTATAGAAATTTTCATCCTGTTGGAAATCCCTTCCGGCGACGTAAGCACTGACTTGATTGGCGTTAATGCTGATCTTTCTTATTGTGCTGACATTCCTGTAGTTCTCCTCTCTGATTTCAAAGTGTAATAAAAAGCCTGTCTGATTTTAGCATCCTTCCCATGCTGCGTGTATTTGAAACGATGCTTCCCAGTTTATTTTTTTATTTTATTTTTTATTTTTGATTACAGCTTGATTCCACATCGTATTTTCGGTACAAGTACGGAATTTTTTCAGCATGGATATCGGTGGCCTAAATTTTACAGGCCGTCCATAGATATCAGGTGTGCTTCGTCGGCAGGGGATCGAACCTCGGACCATGTGCATGGTCGGCAAGAGTCCTAACCACTGTGCCACCGATACACCAGAGAAAGTGAAAGAATGCGGTCCATTCAGATCAGTTGGCAGGTATTTTATGTAATGAAAATAGTGTCAGGCACGAACCAACTAACTAACCAACATTATTCTTTGCACTAGTAGCAAATAAACCATTTCCTCCACCCTTATAACATCAACCTTTATTGTTATTGTTCTTCTTATATTTATAATCCTCTCAATATTTTTATACAATTGGTGGATGGTGGCTAGTGGTGGAATCCAGGATGCGCATTTCGTCCTATTTGGGACTCGTCAGCTAGCGGATGTACCTGCATTTCTCAGTGAGTGATGATGTTCCCACCGAGGTTCGAACTCAGTGCCCATAGTTTCAAACGCCAAAGCGTTATCCACTAGATCACTTGGGCCACGAGAGCCACCTCCTGGATTCCAATGCTAGCCACCATCCACCAATTGTATACAAATCAAATCCCCAGACATCGTCGAAGCATCTGCACAAGAAGCCGACAGACATGTCAACCTGAGACCGAGCACTTCGGTCCAATCAATCGACGGGAAAATCAAAAATTCAATTCAATACTCTCAATATTTTGTTTTTATTTGTTGATTTTCTCATAAATGTAAACATCGTTTAAGCTGTGTTATAACTGTTGTTTTTTTTGTCTTTCCCGTCACTATTCTATATCTCAAGGGAACATTAGATTCAATACTCTATATAACATGCTGAAATTTTCCAACTGAATCGACGATACTGTTTGAAATTCATTTTCATTTTGTACTTCGAATATTTTTGACTTTATTCCTACCGTAAATGTGGACGAATTCCTGGGGTTAATTTTATTTTAATTTTATTTATATTTTGAGTAAATCAGATGCAACATGGTGACAAACGCTGAGAATTCCATTCTGTATTATAAGTACTCTGTCTGTTTTGGAACATAGTAAATTATTATTTTCAATGGTTGGTTTGTAAGGATTACACAGTTTGCTTTTACGAGTTGATCATGGATTGATATCAGTTAGAAAACCACTGGAAAACCAGCACTGGAGTACTGGACAGCCAGCCGTTCTGTCAGCCTAGTTTGGGAATCATTGGCAGTACACACCCCACAACCCAGGACCTTCCGATTACAAGGCCAGCAAGCACATATACCACTCAGCCACTGAGACCTTATTCAATGGCCAGCCCATGAATTCTAACTACTACCAATTCATGATTTAGCGTGACCACCTACTGATGTCATCGTTGGAACACATCCATCCTCACACTTGACGTCTGGATGGACCTCACTGGTCACGACTTCTCACTAGAATTCCAGTGAGATCCATCCAGACGTCAAGTGTGAGGATGGATGTGTTCCAACGATGACATCAGTAGGTGGTCACGCTAAATCATGAATTGGTAGTAGTTAGAATTCATGGGCTGGCCATTGAATAAGGTCTCAGTGGCTGAGTGGTATATGTGCTTGCTGGCCTTGTAATCGGAAGGTCCTGGGTTCGAACCCCCTGTTGTGGGGTATGTACTGTCGATGGCTCCCAAACTAGGATGGAGGAAACAGCTGTCCAGTACTCCCTAGTTCTCAGTAGATTATTATTATTATTAATTATTATTTTATTATTGATATCTTGAATTTTTTTTGAGTTCTCAATGGAAGCGATCTTTTCTGTCCAAATGAAGTCACTCATAAACTTCAAAATAATTTTAAAGTTTGATAAAATGTCATCAAATCAATGTAGCAATATCAAAGAAGATGAAGTTATTACATCGATCAATAGAACTTACCGATGAACCAACAAATTTAACATAACATTCAACAGCTTTTGTTGCCATTGTATTCGATCGAAAAGCCATTGAATCATTTTCTAAAACAGTTTAAAAAAAAAAAGAAACATATTAGACTGATAAGTGAATCTATTTGTGTGTGTGTGTGTAAGTGGAGAATGAATGCTCTTGTCCGCACCAAGTAAAATATTAAGTCACATCATCCTGGAGAGAATAAAATATGTATTGGGTGCAGTACTCCACCCCCTCCCCTCCCCCCACATAGAACAGACTGGCTTCAGGAAAACGGGAAATCATGTGTTGAATAAATTGCAAATATCAGCATTGCATTGTCGACGAACGAGGGCATTGAATGACAGTCAAACCTGTCACCTTAACTTCATCGACTTTGAGAAGAAATTCGACAGACAGACAGCGTGAACCGAGAAATAATTTGGAAGCTACTTCAACACTATAAGATAAATGAAAGAAGTAACCCCTGATGATTAGTGCTGGTTTTATTGTTGCTGTTCGTTGGTGTAAATCTTCATCCCCTCCGTCTTCTTGATCTCCATCTAGAGGAGTTCTGTATTAGCTGTCTGATTCTTCAGTCAATTTGTTTGTTGGTTATCGTTTGCAAGCCTTCAAGTTTGTCTGGCAACCAAAATAAATCATCCACTAGCGAAATCCAGATCTTCTTGAGTCCAGTGTATGCCTGACTCCTCGCTCCCAACGCACAGTCTGACGCATACATAATCAAGCCCACCACCACAATCAAGTATATCATCGGTGATAATAGGCAGTCAGCCAACTTGTCTTAACTCCTGTATTCACTTCGAACGCTTCACTGAGTGAGTTTTCCGTTGTGGATCACCTGACATGTGGCAGGCTCTCTGTCTGTCTGGATTCAACATAGAACTTGCCACCGAAGTGCACCAGTTCGAGTTGCCACGTTCCGAATAGCACACACAGGTAGACAAGAAGATGAGTGAAGAGAATCAATACAGTCTGACAAGTATAAGAGTGAAACAGAATGGGTAATGGTAGAAAGGAATATGAAAGATTACAGAGACTGAATACATCTCCGCTGGCCTTTGACAACGATTTTCAGCCATGTCATCTATTGTCTCTAGCCATTGATTCCTAGAGTCAGTCCCGAGGGACCCAACCCGGAAGTCTATATCTCCCTACCTGACTGACTCAGTTTAACTGTCAAGGATTTCATGGATTGATGAGGCCATGTTTTTGTTTGGCCACCACTTACTCTTTTCCAACCTGCACCACCTATATCAGCTAGTAATGCCCGTCGGAGGAGACGATGGCTAAGCATGCGCACCACGTGACCTAGCCATCTCAGTCTATGTAACTTTATAGCCTCGTCAATTGATTTCCCCTCTTTGCCCAACACTCTACGCCTAACGTCAACATTACTTACCTTATTAAACCACCTAACATGAGAAAGAGATCGTAGACATCTATGATGAAAAACAGTCAACCTTTTCATGTCTTCAACTCGTATTGTCCATGTTTCAGAGCCATAGAGAAGGACGGAGCGAACTGATGAGCAGTACACACGTCCCTTGGTTAATAGCCGGATGTCACGTCTACGCCAGAGATGGTGTAAGTCAGCGAAAGCAGCTCGAGCTTTTTGGATACGTGCTGAGATTTCGTCACGTGCCAGGCATTGTCATATAGCCAGCCAGCTGTTGAATGAGGTGTTGAAGGAGTTCTCAAATTACTTCTCTGTCAACGTTGTCTGTTGAGGAAGTTGAGGTAGAGAGAGAGAAATCTAGATCGAAACTCTTGTTCAGTGCTCTTCAGTTCTTAATAGCTTTCAGGTTTTTCATCCTATTCCACTGCATTCTGAGTAGAACATATAACTTTAAGGCTGAACTTTTAAGTTCAAGTTACATCGCTAGCTGCACAAAATCAAGCTCTTCTCTTTTCCAGACCTACCATCACAGCCAGTAAGCTCTATTCGACTTTTTTTAAATGTGTTGCGGTCGAGAATCGAATCAAAACCACCATAGCATTTAAACCAGAAAGTGCTGGAAATCTGTTTCTTCCTACCTTGGAACACACACACCAATGACACACAACCGGTAGGAATCGAACCCACAGTCTTCAGATTACGCAGGCTAGCGTGCTTGTTAAGAATTCTAACCACTGGGACTGATTTTAGGTGTATTACAGCAGTTTAAACTTTATGCACTTTATTTAACATAAATAACAAGGAGGTAATTACATAAAATATTTCACACATCAGTTTGTAATCTTTCTCCCCTCATCATCATCATCGAAAAGAATTCCTTCTTTTCGAATGCCTAAAGAATCAATATTCTACTGACTTGCCATTTACCCACAACGACCACGACCGCCACTACACCCAGTTAATGAAACTGTGTGTGCGTGTGTGTGTGTGGTGAAGATGGAAGGGAAAACACTGTAAGTATTTCAAATGCATGGAAAAACAAAACTGGCTTTCTCTTGATGTAGCATACACACAGATATATATAAGCGCGCATAAATCTCATGCGTTTATCTGTCATGTAAACAATATGATCGGGTGAAAATGTATAAATTGATGTAAACCGATCCAGAGCAGTTTAAGAGAGTGAGAGAAAGTGTGAGAGTGAGGGAAGATAGAGACGAGGAGGAAGAAGGGAGGGAGAGAGAGGTAGAGTGCAAAAATTAAACAGGCAATACACCGCAAAGTATTACCACAACCACCATCCACCAAAAAACATGAATTATGCAATTCCGGGAATCAAGTTTCACCAGTGTGTTATTCTCTACCTATATATATCATATTATATTATATACATAAATAGACAATCACAGAATACAATGTATTGTATTATGTAATTAGAGATTAGTGACCTTTCCTTGTGGCTTACTTATTTTGGTTTCAGATAAATGAAAATAATTCATGTGTGATAAATGAATGAATCCGCATAGAATTTCATCAGGTGATTTTCACTAGTTATCTTAATCACCATAATATACTTCCTCTATTTTGTGTACACCTTTCCAACCTGAGTGTGTTTGTTGGTATGCAGGGATTTGATTCGCGCTCTTCAAGCTTGAGTGGATGGCTGTTTTGTCCTTCTTGTTGTTGGCAGTCCTCCACATATCAATACGCACTCATGACCCCCCCCCACCAAGGCTTTTCTTTGTCTTATTATGAAAAAATTATTATCATTATTCCATCTATGTTTCGTCCTGTTCTATGTTTTTTTTTCTTTCCTTCACGTTCCCAGTGGAACATAGGGCTTCAAGCTGTCTGTCTGTCTGTTTTCGACATAGAACTTTGCACAAATGTGCGGAAGTTCTAGTCGCCACACTCCGTGTAGCACGCGAAGCAAGAGAAGAAAGTACAAGAAAAGCATAATAAAAACAGTGAGCAGAGGTGTGAGACAAGGGAGTAATAACGAAGAACAAAACAGTTTCATTGGAGATCATAAGTCACAAGGAGTGGATGCATCTGCGCCACTGAGAACGATTTTGAGCCATGTCACCAATTGTTTCCAACCATAGATTTTTACCGTCCCGAGGACCCCAACCAGGAAGTCTGCACCTTTCTACGTGGCTTAGACCAACTGTTGTGGATTTCATTGACTGATGCCAAGTTTTTGTTTGACCGCCACTAGCTTTTTTCCAGCCTGACCCTATATCCGCTAACATTGCTCGTCGAGGGAGGCGATGACTTGGCATACGTAACGCATGTCCTAACCATCTCAGTCTTTGTAGCTTCACGACTTCGTCGATTGATTTCCCCTGTTACCTAGAACTCGACGTCTAACCTCCATGTTGCTCACCTTATTATGCCACTTTACACGGGAAATAGAACGCAGGCACCCAAGATCAAAGGCAGCTAGTCTTTTCATGTCTTCCACTCTCAGTGGCCAGGTCTCACAACCATAAAGGAGGACGGAGCGGACTGATGAGCAGTACACCTGCCCTTTGGTCGATAGTCGAACATCTCGTCTACGCCAGAGTCGGCGTAAACTGGCAAATGCGAAACGAGCCCCTTGTATTCTTGTTGAGATTTCGTCAGAGATCAACCCGTTGTCGTTGGGGCTGATGGTACTTCCCAAATAAGTGAAGCGGTCAACGTGCTCTACCACTTCACTTCCTATTTTTAAACTAGGCGTCGATGTAGTCCAGTCCTGTAACATCATCTTGCATTCGGCGGGAGCGAATCGCATGCCAAACATTCGTAGGTTGCGGCTCAAGGTGTTTAGAAGACTCTGAATTTCGTCAGCGTCTTCGCCTAGAAGGACTATATCGTCTGCATATTCCAAGTCAACGAGATTATTCCCCGGTAGCAAGTCAATCCCTGAGTCGCAGGGCTTCAAGCTAGTGACCTGAAGTTTTGTAGCAATCTTCATTTTACAGGATGGGGTTGCTAGCCTCATGCCCAACCTTTCCTCTTTACCAGCATTATTTCTGGCTCAGTGAGGTAAAGGAGTGCGTCGGTGGCCGGGGATCGAACCCCGGACCATGTGCATGGTAGGCGAGCGTCCTAACCGCTATGCCACCGACGCACCCTGTTCTATGTAGTCCTCTTCAACTGGTCACACGATTGATTGCCCATAATCTCTCATCTCATCCTCCTGCTGCTCCTCCTTGCCACACGATCTCCTCCATGTCAGTCTCGTATTGACGACCCACTCGTAGATTCCCCTTCGGGTTCCACTCGACCGTCTCCTCAGTGGTGTGTATCCCTGATCCATCTCCATTTTCTCTTACATATTTGTTGAACAACAGGTGTTCTTGTTTGCTTTCTTCCCAGATAGAGTTTCTTGCTGATAATTTATTCTGGACGGCCGGCTGGCCATTTGATCTTCAGCATGGAGCCAAGAAGAGAAGTGGGCAGCTGTTGATAAAATTCTGCAGTAGCCTGTTGGAAATGCTTTTTACATGACTCACCCATCACCCAAGTGACCGACTTCACATTTGTGTTCAACAGAATCTGAATCGTGTTCTTTATGCTGTTGACTGAGTGAGAGTGTAGAATACTTCGAAACTGGTTTCAGGTTGATGAAGGCGTATATCTTGCCTTTGACATCCTTATCGTTTCCGCTCTTAGTTTACACGATGCTGCCTGGTGAGATAAAAGAACGAACTAACCTCTTCCTTTGACAGTGATTGGTGCTTATTGTTGTTGTTGTTTTTGCTTGGTTACCTTCAATTATTATTCTATAGGGGGTTCAATCGTACGCCATAACATCACATTCAGAGCTCATTTGGGTACGTTGAATACAAATATTATTATTATTATTAATTCCTCCACGTTCCCAGTGGAATATATGACTTCAAGCTAGAAGCTAGAAGTTTCGATAGTAGTGTTTATTTTTACAAGATGTGGTTACTAGCTTCATGTCCCCCCACCAACCTTTCCTCTTTACCAGCTTTTTTTTATTTCTGGCTTAGCAAGTGCATCAGTGGCCGGGTTTTGACCCCAGACTATGTACATCATCGGCGAGCGTGCTAATCGCCGCGCCACAGACGCATTGAATACGGTAGTATTCCGTTTAAGTGTAATAGTGAGTGACATCATTATGCTAAGTGTGGCGTCATATGAAAACATAGCCAAGAGAATGTTATTTCGGTAGTGGGCAGTGACTAGCAGTGTGTAATTCAAGATGCACATTTCGCTCCTATTTAGCACTCATCATCTGGATGTGCCTGAGATTTCTACTTAGACGCAAACCTTGCTTAGCTATCATTTCAAATGCCAAAGCACATTATCCACTAGAATTACATTCAACATCAGCTAAAATATCCTCCTCCCCCCCTCCAAATTAATCCTCACAAACCGTCGAAGCACGCGTACTGATAGTCAAGATGTCAACACAAAGACTGGTCAATTCAGTCCGCCACAATCGGTAAACAAGAAATACGCATTAATTCCAAAAAATAACCAAGATCAAAAGCGGTGGGGGGGGGCTAAAAAGGCATTCAATGAAAACCAACTCACCGAGATTAGAAACTTCTCGTACAACAAGATTCGTTAAAAAATCGATTAGTGTATTATTGTGTTCATGTAGACAAACCAGAGAATTAGCAATCTCTTCTTTGAATTTTACAGATAATAAAGATTCTAACCATTTCGTGAGTAATAAACTATGACTTAATATAAGCTGAAAAGTAATAAAATAAATTTAAAAAAAGAAACGACATTAAAAAGGTTTGTGAAGGACACAATTCAAGGTGAAATTCTCCACATGAACTACATACAATACGCGGTGATACACGAAATTACTAGCTGTCTGGAAGCGAACGAAAACCCTCAGGCATCTTAATTAGCTCATTTAATATCGATCTTGTCAGTCAAAGATCGTTTCAAATCGGCCATAATCATTTGAATTTTGACTAACTAAATATGAATCGATGTGTGCAGCAGGTCAGGTGTAAGCAGTAGGTGTGTACTGATGAAGAGTCATAAACCAAGACGAAACAGATGTCCAGTACTCCCAGTTTTTCCAGTGGTTCTCTAACCAATATCAGCTCATGATGAAATCCTGTTAGCAATCGATGTGTGTCGGTGGTCTAGGGTTCGACTCTTGACTGTCGCACTTCTAAGCAACATTTAACCAGTAGTAAAGTCAATTAGGCCACTGGGTGATATCGTCCACGCGTCAGACCATTGCTCGAGTGGAACCAAGCCGAAAGGGAAACGGCGAGTGGGACGTCAGTGCAAGGGTGATATAGAGGAGATCGTGTGAAGAGGAGTTGAAACAGTGTGAAATAACATGGATGCAGGTGAAAAGCACAGCAGAAGACAAGCAAGTGGAGACGTGCAGTTGAAGCCCTATGTTCCACTAGGAACCCAAGGGAACAATAATAATAATAATAATAAAAAGCCAATTAAGGAGGAAAAGTTAGGTGTCAGATTAGCAACCTCATCCCGTAAGAAAACAAAACACCACCCCTACTGAAAAGCTTCAAAGCTCAAGTTTCTTGAAGTCTCCTATCTTCCAATGAACTGTTGTCAAGATTTTGTTAGAATAGTTCTAAAATATTTGGGCGCCGAATGAGAAGTAGACATTTGTAAAAAAAAACTATATTTGTAAAATCTCACCGAGATTGAAATGAGTAATTCCAACGTGTCCTACATTCGGCAATCTGGTCCAAATGTCTACTTCTCACTCGGCGCCCAATTATATTTTAGAACTATTCTATCGAATCTTGACGACAGTTCATTGGATGAATTATTTTGCAATCGAATCAAATTAACAGAGAAACTATGTAATCGGCACAATCACATTGTGTTTTTACTCTCCGTTGTCTGCAAATGAATGGATATTAAAAAGATAATTGCAGCGAAGAAAATTTTCTTTTCGACGATGTCCCTATCATCTAGGCTGTACATTCGTGTATTTATATCAAATGGATGGGAAAGTTCCAGAATAATTTCCGGTTAAGGATCAAATTATCAAAAATTAAAATTAGGAATTCGAATGCCATAATAAACAGGGGGGCGGATAAAACTCAAACCCAAAGCAGCATCAAAATAACTAAGAAGATTGACATTGTGTAATTGGGGGTTAGAAATGTAGAAATAACAAAATAGACAGGATGTTTGGATAAATAAACTATTGTGATGAATAATGTTTATGCAATCAGGGATTAAATATGTAGAAATAGTGAAATGACAAAATAAACACGAAGTTCGGATATGAAAATATGCTAGTGTAAACAGGGATTAAGACGAATGGATATTCTAAATCCGTAGCTGTCAAGTCACCTGACAACTCCAGTAGTTCGAATAAAGCAGTTCAATCTTCAAAAAGAAGACAAAGCAATAAGTTCGACAGGGTGTATTTCAACTAAACTCTAATCCTAAACATCATAATTTTGAAAATACGTCAAATCATAAAACTCTTGATACTAACAGTTTGGTATTGGTTTTGTAGGGATTTTGTTTGATTGCATGGAGGATTTAATCATGAGCTGACATCAGTTAGAGAACCACTGGAAAACCTGGGAGTACTGGACAGCTGTTTCGTCCTAGTTTGGGACTCTTCAGCAGTACGCTGATGTCAGCTCATGATTAAATCCTCCATGCAATCAAACAAAATCCCTACAAAACCAATACCTGAAAATTAATCTGATGCTCACTAGTGACTGGCCCTATTCAGGCAGTTAACCTGGGGTTCTAGTGGGAAGCCGTGACCAGTAGGGTACAGCAGGTTGAAGATGAGGCAGTAACTCATCGAAGAAGACATTGCGAAGTGGTCGCGCTATGTCGTGAATTGGCAGAAGTTAGAATTCAAGGACCATTGGATCGGGTCCCAGTGGCTCAATGGTCTACGAGCTCGCCTTGTAACCAGAAGGTCCTGGGTTCGAATCCCGGTGGGTGCGTACTGCTGAAGAGTCCCAAACTAGGACGAAACAGCTGTCCAGTACTCCCAGGTTTTCCAGTGGTTCTCTAACTGATGTCAGCTCATGATTAAATCCTCCATGCAATCAAACAAAATCCCTACAAAACCAATACCTGAAAATTAATCTGATGCTCACTAGTGACTGGCCCTATTCAGGCAGTTAACCTGGGGTTCTAGTGGGAAGCCGTGACCAGTAGGGTACAGCAGGTTGAAGATGAGGCAGTAACTCATCGAAGAAGACATTGCGAAGTGGTCGCGCTATGTCGTGAATTGGCAGAAGTTAGAATTCAAGGACCATTGGATCGGGTCCCAGTGGCTCAATGGTCTACGAGCTCGCCTTGTAACCAGAAGGTCCTGGGTTCGAATCCCGGTGGGTGCGTACTGCTGAAGAGTCCCAAACTAGGACGAAACAGCTGTCCAGTACTCCCAGGTTTTCCAGTGGTTCTCTAACTGATGTCAGCTCATGATTAAATCCTCCATGCAAACTAACAGTTTGAACAGACATGAAGGTGTGATCTTGTTAGCTGATGCATAGGAAATCCTGATTAATAAATAAAAATGGATATGTATCACTAATTAATTAATTAATAATACTTGGTCAAAATCCCCAACTGTCTATATCTTCTTATGGAGAGGTTAACAAATGTTTTACAACTGTTTACCCACACACACACATACACAGTCTGCTTAAAGTGTTTAACAAAGATAGACCAATATTTGTAAGTCAGAGGTCAAATTTTGATCATGGCACATACAATTTTGTTTATTATACTTGTTGACACTTGTTTTATGACATTATTGGACAAAGAGATGTTCCTTTTCTGCATATAAACTATATATGTGTAATAATGAGGGTTTAGACATAAGATTGGACGGTAGGCGACATGAACTACTGACGGATATGAGTAGCATACAGTTGGTGATTCAGTTGTACAGTCACACCATAGGTGAGACTTCAATTCCAGACGTCGAAACACTACTCCATAACCTCGACTAGTTTACTAGCCGTTAGTAAAAATGGAAAAGAATGAGAAGGTATGGCATGAGGTTATCATACCCATCATCTCCTGAAAAAGATTAACATTAACACTACTACTGAAGTTGGTTATAGGATTTCATCATGAGCTGAAATCAGTTAGAGAAGCATTGGGAGTACTGGACAGCCAGATGTTTCGTTGGCCTAGTCTATGACTCTTCATCAGTACGCACCCATCACGGAGGTTTCGAACTTACGACCTTCTTGGTTACACGGTGAGCCATTAAACCGGGTGTCAAATGGCTAGTTCAGGAATTCTAACTCCTGCCAATTCACGAAATAGCGCGCAACCACTGGCCAATGTCATCGGTGGCGAGTACTTATCTTCAAACCCAAACTTCTGTACTTGTGTATTGGTCACGACTTCCCACTAGAACCCCAGGTTATAATGCTCTCCAACCTCGCGAAAGTCCCGAGTTCAATTCCTAAGCCTCGGTTGGTATACTTGTATTCCCCATGCAGATGAGAATGAGGCACACCTACTATGCGCGAAGGCAAGTGATACTGTAACGACGAAAGACAGGGGCCAGGCAACAGATCGTTTATTCAGAAAATCAACAGATATTTATAGATTTTTCTGTACATTATTATTAGCGTTATTGTTAGCAGAGAAGCAACGTCTCCTCACTGGTTGTCTTCCTGCTCAAGGTTATTCTGTCATCTTTTTATGGCCGTTTCTTAGGCAGTCCGTTGATACATCTGCGAATCGTATCCGCCCACGTTAAGTCTGCTGTGATTGGTTGGTGAGTTAGTCTTTGTTCTTGTTTTTTTCTCATGACTAAGATTTGGGTATGCCGAAGGTATGTCGTTCTTTTTTAGTTAACAGATTCCTTAGGTACTTTTTTAGCCAAGTCCAAATTACCTCTAACGAAAATTTTAATTATGTGTCATAACTGGGTGCTTAAAAGACCAGTAACAGCAACAGTGTATGAATCGGAAAATTCAGAAGTGTCTACAATGCAATGGTACCAGTACTGCAGAGATATAAAATCATGGAAAATGAACAGGCTGACTCAAGTACTTGGCGGAGTTGACGTCATTGTTCACATAGATGAGACAGTGTTGATAAAAAGAAAGTATAATCGAGGGAGATTGAGTGCAAATCAGTAGTGGGTGCGTGAGGAATATATGAGACCACCCTCCACAAAGGATACATTGAGCCGATCCTTAATCACAGTGCAGATGTCTTATTGCCTATTATCCAGTGCTTAGTGCTGCCTGAAACAACTATTCATACATATGAATGGAGTAGTTATAGTCAGCTATCAACCCAGGGCTATATTCACCACGTTGTCAACCATACAAATGATTTCAATCAATCCTTTCGATTGGTAGTCCAAAGTGGCGTTAAGGAACAACACTACGAAGTTCATCCGAAATGCAAAGAATCAGGGAAACAAAAAAAAGATGACACATTAGTAATATATTACAACATATCAGAAAGAAAAAAAACTAACTGTTCTCAGCGGCCAATAATTGCACAACGGTAGTATTCCAAGTGATTGATAACGTGCACGAATACGTAGTTGGGGTAAATTTCGTTGGTCTGCGACAACTCCAGTACTGCCAGTGTTAGTATTATTACTAATACTATTACTACTACTACTACTAATATTATTATTACTGCTTATTGTTCTACTAGAGTTCAATCTACCAGCAGACTGATGATTATTCTCCGCCGTGTAAATCATTGTACCGAGGTGATTGAGAAGATTATCTTGACTTGACGTATTCTCAACTGTTGGCGGTTGTAGGGTTAGCCAAGTTTGAATATCTGTCCGACTGGTTATTTCAGATATAGGAATAGTAATATAACCTGAAAATAAGTGAAAATAGGTATTCAAGTGTTGGTTTGTGGGGATTTGATTGGTTACAGGATTTCATCATGAGCTGACATTAGATAGAGAACCCTTGGAAAACCAGCTGAGAGTTTGGGACTCTTCATAAGTACGCACCCACCGGGATTTGCACCCAGGGCCTTCTGGTTACAAGTCGAGTTCGTATATCATATCCTGGGTTCGAATCCCGTAGTGTGGATGCGTACTGCTGAAGAGCCCCAAACTAGGATGAAACAGCTGTCCAGTACTCCCAGTTTGCTTTCCAATTGTTCTCTAACTAATGCCAGCTCATGATAAAATCCTGTAACCAAGAAAATAGCTTTCTTATTAGGGTTAGAGTATTAAAGATAAAAGCTGAGACAGAAGATTTAAAAAGACGTATAATATGCACAAATATAACACTAAACACACAATATCAGATAAATTAAGCAAGTTTTTATGAATTTATAAAATCTACAGTGAGTCAAGGTAGCTGCAATGGCTCCAACTATTTTTTCTACACACATAGCTCCTGTTGTTTTAGGCAAATTGCATTGGCCGGTGTTTTTTTTGTAGAGTATTCGGTACCTAGAGGCATTTGATAATTTATGTAATACTCGATAGATGATAGAAATCGATCGAAAAATATTGACTTTTTGGCCTGTGTTTGGACCAGATGACCTAATATTGAACTTGATGATGGCTTTCACACTAGAACCATTGTCCCAATTTCTATTTAATTTGGCCATAGATGTACTAACGGAAATAAACTCTAGCTGCTGACTTAAGCGACTCAGTGATTGACTTTTTACCACCACCAGGGAATAATCTCGTTGACTTAGAAATATGCAGATGACATAGTCCTTCTAGGTGAAGACGCTGACACAATACAGCAGAGTCTTCTGAACATATTGACAGGCAGAAATCTTTGAATGTTTGGCATGCGATCCGTTCCCGTCAAATGTACGATGATGAGGCTACAGGACTGAGCTGGATTATATCGACTCACTCCTAGCTTAAAGATTAGTAGGAGTAAAGTGAGTGGTTGACCACTTCACATATTTGAGAAGTTGTATCAGCCAAGGCCAGCGACTTGGTTGTTCATGAAATCTCAGCATGGATACAGATAGCTCACTTGGCATTTATCAGCCAACTTACGGCATCTCTGGCTTAGTAGACATGATATGCAGTTGGCTGGCTATCGATCAAATGACGTGTGTAATGCTAAGCGTAGCAGTCTGCTTTGTCCTCTTTTGTGACTGTGAGTTGCACATGGCCATTGAAAGTGGAAGATGTGAAAATGCCAGCTAGCTGTCTTTGATCACAGGTGCATGCGTTCTGTCTGCATCCCGTGTTAGGTGGTGTACTAGGGTGAGCAATATCGAGGTCAGGTATAGGTAGAATGCTACGTAGGCGGGAGGGGAAATCAATCGACGAGGCTCTGAAGTTACATCGATTAAGATAGTTAGGACATGTGTTGTGCATACCTGCCTGGCCACTGCCTTCCTCGACCAACGGGCATTGTAAGCTGACATACGATGGATCAGGTTAGAAAAGAGTCAGTGGTGGGGTGGTCAAACCAAAACATGGCTTTAACAGTCAATGAAATCCATAACAGTTAGTTTGAGCCAACCAGCCAGTGACGTAGGGATATGTAAACTTCCTGACTGATTGGGGCCCTCGGGATAATAAAAACCAATGAAGGCTTGAGGTAATTGGTGATATGGCTCAAAATCGTTGTCAACGACTGGCGCAGATGCATCCACCCCTTGTGACTCATAATACCCAATAGAATTATATTGCTCTTCTATATTACTGTTCTTTTTGCCTCATATTTCTGTTTACTGTCTCTGTTTTGAATCCCTGTTTACTCTCTCCTTGCTTTGTATGCGACATGGGGGGGGGGGGAGAACGTGGTAACTGGAACTGCTGTACATCTTTGCAAAGTTTTACATTGAAACCATGACGCACGAAATTCACTGCAGCCACACGCTTCCACCTACTATACTCCCATGACACCTGCCTTCTATAAAAAAAGCATATACGATTTGTTCACCAGTGATTCAAATGTAGAAAGCTTGTCAACTACGCCTCACGTGGTCCAAGGTTTGATCATCGACTGACGCACTCCTCAATCTCGCTCGGTCGGTAGTTAGCCTGGTAAAGAAGGGAGGTAGGACGTGAAACCAGCAAACCACACATCTCCTTGCCATAAAATTAAAATCACTGTTACCGAAACTCTCGAGCTAGAGCCTGAAGCCTTATATGTTCCACTAGGAATGCAAAGAAATAGAACAAAAATAAAATAGTCCAATGAAGATTATAGGTCTATGATTGTCAGCTTAAATGCTTCTATTGAATATCTCGGTTTAATTTCAGCACGTTAGAGTAACTGCGTTAAAGAAATTTGTCACAATGATATCAGTTATGCCGTACAAGTTCACGTAAGCACTTTTATGAATATTAAGATGACATGTGTATTGGACATTATTCTCTTAATTTTGCTTCCATGTGACTCCATACTTAGCATAACTATGTCACTACCACATAATCATTGGATATTATAAGTCACAAGGGGCGGAGGCATCTGCACCAGCCATTGAGAACTATGATTTTGAGCCATATCACCAATTGTCACCAGCCTTCATTGGTGTTTACCGTCCCGAGGACCCCAACCAGTCAGTCAGTCATGCAGTCTACACCTTCCTATGTGGCTGGCTTGATCCCACTGTTATGGATTTAATTGACAGATGAAGCCATGTTTTGGTTTGACCACCCCACCACTAACTCTTTCTCAACTTGATCCATCCAATGTCAGCTAACCATACCTGTCGGTCGAGGAAGGCAATGGCTAGGCAGGTATGTATAACACATGTCCTAACTATCTTAATCGATGTAACTTCACAGCCTCGTCGATTGATTTCCCCTCCTCCCGCCCCCCATAACAAGGCGTATGATAACAATCTATCTAGATAAGCAAGTCAAACGATTAAGAGATATAGATCACAGCCATTCTCTCATATTCTCACTTCAAACAAAATACGGGTAACATCAAACTAACAAACAACCAGTCAAAACAACTTAGAATGAAAGAAAATCAATATATTAATCAATATCTTTCAAGTTCCACACCCAACAAAAGTGCCCAGAGAGTTGTTTATGCGATTTATATCGGCAAAAGATTTTAAAGAATACTTTTAACAGCTATAAACACAGTATGTAGATGTGAACATACTACACGTGCATCAGTGGCACAGGTGTAGAATGCTAGCCCACCATGCCTCCTCATGCGATGTGGAGTTCAAACCCGGGCCACCGACGCACTCCTTTATCTCACTAAGCTACTAATTAGACTGGTAAAGACTGGTATAGGTTGGACATGAGGGTAACAACCCCATACCATAAAAGTAATAAACACCACTGCTACCGAGACTTCAAGTCTGTAGCTTGAAGCCCCCATGTTCCACTGGGAACTTCAAGGAATAAAAAATATATATACTACAAATTCTTTATACCCTTTTGAACCTCGAATGAGAGATGAATATTTTCAATGCTTCAAAAACACACCCCGCTTATGAATTCCAACAAAAATAAAACCTCAGTAGCATAAGATTTCATCATACTACCGATTAACTCTACTGAGGTAAGAGCTGTTTGCTAGACAAAATTGGTAGACAGCAATTTACATCAATGTTTACGTCCAAAATCAGCGCCATGAGAAAAAAACAAGATCAAAGACTAAATCAACAACCAATCACAGCAGAATTTGCGTGGGTGGATACAATTAGCAGATATATGGTCTGACCTTCAAAGAAATGGCCACTAAGAGGTGACAGAATAACCTTGAGCAAGAAAACAACCAATGAGAAGACTTTGCTTCTCTGCTGCTAATAATAACCAATAGTAATATACATGAAAATCTGTGAATATATATTGATTTCTTCAATAAACGATCTGTCTGGTCTGGTCCTTGTCTTATGTCGTCACACTACTATCCAATAACTAGTATAAAAGTTCACAGTCTGTTGTGTCATGATTTGAGCCACATTATAAAGAGGTGTAGACTGTGTAATTAGGACTCTCCATATGCTAAGCATGTTTGAGATTGTCGGTGACATAGTTCAACACATTGTTTTCGATTTAATTCTATCATAATTTTATTTCTTTACATCCCGAGTGGAACATAGAGGGCCTCGAGCTAGAGCTTTTAAGTTTCAGTAGCAGTGGTGTTTATTTCTACGGGGTGGGGTTGGATAGTCTCACGCCCCACCCCACCCAACTTTCCCTATTAACCGTTATGATTACCGACTTACCGAGGTAAAGGAGTTCGTTCATTGACCGAGAATCGAACTCCAGGCCATATGAGGCATGGTTGACGACGAACATTCCCACAGCTTAGTCACCGACGTACACTAAGATTATTTGATTGACACAATTTCACACTCTTAATCGATAAAGTTTTGATTTACAAAGCTTCAATGGTTACTTATTTAGCGATTCATTCATATATAAATGCAATTTTAAAAAAAATTAAATAATAGTAATTACCGATTAGTTGATTTGGAGCTTTTCTGTACTTTCTTAAACTGATTCTTGATGTTCCTATCCGTCGAGCATCTTTACCACTTGATCCGCTATCTCGATATAAACTGATTGTCATCACAGAAACATCTGGAAGATTACTAGTTGAGAAGAAAAATAATAAAACATAAAAAAAAACTGTTAGATGAAAAGCAGCAATCAATGAACAGAAAACAGAAAGAAAGTATATTGCTGAACCGATTCATTCCTGTAGGATACAGATAATACTTTTGGTGGATTAGATATCTTCAGGTAGTAGAAAATTAATCTGATTCTGACTAGCAACTGGCGGCTGCCCCCTTTTCAGGTAGATAGTTACCTGAGGTTCTTGTGGGAAGCCATCACCAGTAGGATACAGTAGATTAAAGATGAAGCAGTAACTCATAGAAAAATATATTGCGAGATGATCGGGCTATGTCGTGATTTCGTAGAAGTTAGAGTTCATGCGCTGGCGGGCAAATGGGTCGGGTCACAGTGGCTTAATGGTCTACGAGCGCGCTAGTCATGTAACCAGAAGGTCGTGGGTTCGAACCCCGTGATGTGGGTATGCATTGCTGAAGAGTCCCAAACTGGGATGAAACAGTTGTCCAGTACTCCCTGTTGGTTATCCAGTGGTTCTCTAACTGATGTCAGCTCATGATGAAATCCTCCATCCAATCAAACTAAATCCCTACAAAACTTGACTTTTAAAATTCAATCTAAACGAAGAATATTCTTTTCAATAATTTCTCCTCTTCAGGTTCTCATAATTATAAAATATAATATATTTGTTGTCGTAAGAATAATGATAGCCGGTTATGCATGTCTGCACGTCTATCCCTATCCTTCAGTAGCCAAACAATGTTCACCGACCAACTCAAAGATGTCTTATCTAACCTTAGCTCTTCTTCATGCATATACCATTTCAACTGTTCCTGTAGTTCAATTTATAAAGAGCCCACGTATTAGGCAAGTTCGTCTACGGGTTCGAGAACACTTACCAGCTTGGTTCAGCAGGGGGGGAATTAAGTGCATAAAAAGCTCGATCCTGTCACACTCGGTCGATTCTGGACATAGTATCGACTTCAACACAGATTTCACGGTTGTATACTGAATTCCGAATTCGTTATCGCGTACAGTTCGCTTACGCCTGCTACACATACCTGATGGTGTTGCAGTAAGATTCGACTATACCGGAACGCTGTATCCAGAAAGAACACTGCAGACGCTGTTCCTACCATGTTCAAATTTGGATTGACCAATCTTCTTCTCACCAAGAGTGCTTCTTCCCCTTAACCTTCTTAGTTTTTCTTTCTTATATTATCATAATTATCATTATTCATCATAATTTATGCCCTTCATGCAAACATTCTCTCAATACTATCGAATTTCCCATTTATACTCTCTGGACTTATTATTGGCTATATTATCTCTTTTCTCAATATATGCTCAATATTGCCCAAAGATAATTTAAAAAGACGGTTGCAGCGATGAAGATTTTCTTTTCGACGAAGTCCCCGTCAACTAGGCAGTGATGTACATTCGTGTATTCATATTACATGTACGAGATAGTTCCAGAATTATTTCCGGCCAGTGGTCAGATTAATAAAATTACTAAATGTAATAAACAGAAGATGGGTAACTAGTGGTACTATTCTAGAAATACTTCAGGTCAAAGGTCAAATTAAACAGAAATTCCACTGTGTAATAATCAGGAAGATCGTAAATTTTGTTTTGATAAAGTCTCACAGTGTTATACAGTAATGTTTACTGATGACGTTTCGAGCACAATTTATTGCTCATAATCATATCAAGGTAATCACACGACTTCCTAAATTCATTTATATAGTTCCATTGTTTTTCTCTTGATTTTCACTTGATTTGATTGGTAATAGTATTTTCCATATTTCAGGTATGAGTGACGAGTCATTCCTATTGCATGTGTTGGGTGTAGACTCGATGAACAAGGATTCAGTAATCAACCTCTCTCTCCACCTACCTAGATTACTTTTTAGAATTTTAACCCTCTCCCACCCTATTGTGTGGTTGTGTGTTAGCGCATGCATTGCAATTGCTGAGCTTTTTTCTAAATTACTTATCTTCTCGGGGTCAACCATTCTTACCTTAGCTAAATTCTTATGCTCTGACAATCTGACTACCCCTGACCTACTAGTTTGACCTATGTAGTTGACCTCACAGTCATTGCATGGTATTTTGTAAATAATATTATTTTGTCTAATTGGGTCAACTGGGTCCTTTAACCTACAGAGCTTGTCCCTGAGTGAGTTTGTAGGTTTAAATGCCACCCTAATTCCTATTTTATTCAGAATCCTACGTAGTGTCTCAGATGTCCCCTCTTTATATGGTATAACTGTGGATGACTTATATTCTTTCTTATTTATGTTATTATTACTAGTTTCACAATTATTTTTATTTTGTTTTTGGCCTTTAGTGATCTTCCTAATGAATTTTATAGGATAGTTATTCAACACCAACGCTTCTTCTATCTGTTTTAATTCATCATTTAGATCTTTTTTTGTGCTACTTAGTGCCACTGCTCGGTTTGTTAAACATTTAACTAAGCCTGCCTTAACAGTTAAAGGATGAGACGAATTAAAGTCTAAATATCTATTAGAATGCGTTGGTTTTCTATAAACACTAGTGTGTAGTTTGCCTTCTTCTATTCTTTTTATCTTACAATCTAACATAGCTAATTCTCCTTGTTCATTTTCTGATTCAAATGTGAATTTTATTCCCTCAACTTGTGAGTTTATATGTGTCAAGAAGCTAGAGATGTGTTCTGTTTTTAACACTGTGAAAGTGTCATCCACATATCTCCACCATATTTTCGGAGTAGGGTTAAATGTATTGAGGGCACTATTTTCCCAGCTGTCCATAAATATGTCTGCTACGATAGGGGATATTGGTGATCCCATTGCTACACCTTCTGTTTGTCTATATATTTTGCCTTGGAACTTAAAGATAGTAGATGTGAGGCATAACTGAATTCCTAAAATAATTTCTTCAATGGACAGCTTTGTCCTATGACTGAGTTCCGGATCCGCAGTTAATTCTTTTTTAACTGCTTCTAAGGCCATATTAACTGGTATATTAGTATAAAGACTAGTTATATCAAAACTAACCATTGTTTCATCATTCGCTAGTTGAATGTCATTTATTTTATTTTTCATCTCATATGAATTAGTTAATCTAGAGTTTGAACGATTTCTAATGGGGCATAGTATTAGAGCTAAGTGTTTTGATAATTCATACGTGGGGGTATTTCTAAAATCTACTATTGGTCTTATGGGGTAACCTGGCTTATGTATTTTTATAGTACCATATATTCTACTAGCATTATTAGTTTTAGGCATTAAATTAAACCATTTAGACTCACCCAGGGATGGCTTCATTCTGCGTATTAGTTCCGCTGTAGATTTCTTAACCTTATTCATTATTGTATCTACAGGCTTCTTAATTTCCTCATATGGACCCGTTTGAATATGTTCAGTAACTTTTTTGATGTAGTCAGATTTATCCAATACTACGGTGGCGTTTCCTTTGTCAGCTTTTGCGATGACAATGTTTTTATCCTGTTTAAGACTAATTAAAGCTTCCCTTTCCGATTTTGTTAAGTTTGATTTTGTTTTCTTTTGATTTTTTAGGGTTAATGCACATTGTGCTCGAACCTCTTCTGCTGTAGTCTTATCTATTGAGTTTAGTGCTGCTTCTATGTTAGGAATGACGTCCTCTGGTTTTAATTTATTAACTGAATTCCGAATTCGTTATCGCGTACAGTTCGCTTACGCCTGCTACACATACCTGAAGGTGTTGCAGTAAGATTCGACTATACCGGAACGCTGTATCCAGAAAGAACACTGCAGACGCTGTTCCTACCATGTTCAAATTTGGATTGACCAATCTTCTTCTCACCAAGAGTGCTTCTTCCCCTTAACCTTCTTAGTTTTTCTTTCTTATATTATCATAATTATCATTATTCATCATAATTTATGCCCTTCATGCAAACATTCTCTCAATACTATCGAATTTCCCATTTATACTCTCTGGACTTATTATTGGCTATATTATCTCTTTTCTCAATATATGCTCAATATTGCCCAAAGATAATTTAAAAAGACGGTTGCAGCGATGAAGATTTTCTTTTCGACGAAGTCCCCGTCAACTAGGCAGTGATGTACATTCGTGTATTCATATTACATGTACGAGATAGTTCCAGAATTATTTCCGGCCAGTGGTCAGATTAATAAAATTACTAAATGTAATAAACAGAAGATGGGTAACTAGTGGTACTATTCTAGAAATACTTCAGGTCAAAGGTCAAATTAAACAGAAATTCCGCTGTGTAATAATCAGGAAGATCGCGTAGAAAAGACAAAATAGGACTATAATAACTGAAAAACTCGTTTTTTTTAATAATTATCGGTTAAGGACGTAGCATTAACGAAATTTGTAGGAGGTCCGGACATATAAAAACATTAACCGTATCTAATAATGCAGATAAGAATTTAAAAGGTAAATATTATTATGATTTCCTTTAATTCCTAGAGGAACATAGGGCTTAAGCCGCTCACGTCTCCATTGCGTTCGGTTCTCTGCTAGAGTTTTCACCTGGCTCCAAGTCTGCCCACATGCTTTCATCTCCCCTTCACATCACCTCCTCCAAGTCACCCTTGCACTGACGACCAACTCGCCGCCGCTTCCCTTTCGGGTTTCACTCGAGGAATGGCTTGTCTAGTGGTGTCACTTGGTGGTTTATTTTCTCAGAGTATGGCCAATCCATCTCCATTTCTTCCTGTCTATTTGTTTCACAATCGGTTCCTGCTGTGTTGGTTCGCTCATTCCCAGAGATCCCTGTTGGTGATCTTTTCTGGCCGGCCATCTGATCTTGAGTATTGAGCGAAGACAACTGTTGATGAAGGTCTGTAGTTTGTTTGAGGTGCTTTTTATAACGCGCCTAGTCTCTGATCCGTATAGTAGCACTGACTTCACGTTGGAGTTGAAAATCCGGATCATATTGTTCATTCTGACTTCTGTTGACCTCCACACAGACTTAAGAGTAATGAGAACTAGCCTTGCTTTCCCGATCCTCGTTGCTTTGATA